TATAGTTAATTTGCTGATACACAGTAACCGTCAGTTCAGGCTTGCTCCGGTACTCCGATATTTCAGGATCTTTGGCAAAATCGGTGGATTTTTTTAAGATGATCACAATAATCAACGAGAGATTCTCTGCATATAATACACGGTGGAAAGCAATTTTTAAGTTACTGAAAAAGTGTACCACAGCGCCCCCAGTCTGAGGAATTATGTTTGAAAATCCCGAATCACCGGGTGTATAGTCATGTTCTAAAGGGTAACCAAGGTTTGATATGAGAAATGCGAAAAAAATCACGGATGTACATCGAGATCTGTTAAAGATGTTATTCTGGCAATGCTCCCAAGAATTAAAAACAAAAGTTGGCTCAAGTCAACACTTCAACTCGTGTGGCGTACGTGTTTGTCGTATACAACCTGTCATACTCAAAAACCGACAACATGCCAAATCGTAATACACCCCCACCATGGGATATAAACCGACCGTAAAAGTAATTTTGTTAAAATAATTTCTTAATAATACTTCAAATTGTCGAGCGTTGGCTCATCGCATACTGAAAAATACATCACCATCAGCTCGTACCGATTGGATAAAATACTAGTAGTCACGATATTTGAAATATGCGGAAACTTGTGACAAATTTTTATTGTCATTCGACAAGTTTGCAGTATCACTTCGTTAAAGTGCGGCAACTCGAACGCTAACGGTACTTAACGGCCAGTTTGGGAGGAGACGAGCTTCTAGTAAACGTCACGGTGAAAGACCACCTAGCTTCGTGATAACAAGTTGTACTAATGCCTGCGAGCAACGCAGTTTTGATTCGCCGGTGTCCATGACAACCACAATGTTAAAACAGTATCGGAATACTTAAGTTTTACTACATTTATTGGACTCGGACGACCGTCGTAAAACCATTTATATCTTATAATCTCAAACTGAAGTCTTTCCGTTTTTGAAAATCATGATTTGTATTTTGTCTAAATTGCCCATCATGCCTCAGTAATTACAACATTTCTTCAAATTTTATTGTAATACTGTACCAATAGGTAAGTTCTCAACATCATTAGCATACATACAAATCACTGTACTGTTAACATCTCTATTCACGTCATATTCCAGTTTCATCGTCATTCGCCGGGTGTCAAGCACTGAAGATCGCCCACGAAGAAACGAAACGATAGTGGGCTCTACAGATACCCATGTCTCGTGCCAATAATACAATCAAAATAATTGCTCAGGCCACGTTACATAAAACACTGAACTGAATTTGATTGTACTTTGAATGCAAAATTCTCACAACTTTACCACGTGACCCATATAAAATCAACTTACGAAATAAAGTATGTTTAACCCGATAAAACGCTTTTGAAAAGTCGGCAAATGCACAATACATAAAGGTAAATGATAAATAGTTGAAGACAAAGAAAATATTGTTGCCAAATCAGCTTGTGCTTCGATAACGATGAAAATAAATTATTATTATTATTATGTGTGTATGCATATTCCATCAGAGACTCAACGTTGAAAATTATTGTGTTTTTTTTTTTTTTTGATGAAAAGTCATTTCACACCTACTTATCTCATCGATATATGGCAATTGAATTCAACGTTAGAAATTCGGCCACGCGTAAACGGAGTCGCGAATTTGTTAAAATTTAACGAACCCGCGTAACAATTTGGCGTTAGAAGCAGTAACACCTGAATCGAAGCATTCTAAGAAATGGACCGCGAATAATCAGCCCTCCACATACACACACCAACAAGCACGCGTCGCGATAGTCTGTCACCTGAACGCAGCCTGTGAGCGCCTCTTTTGATACAAGCAACTCTCCCGCCAATCTCACGGCACTATAACTATAAATAGAAAATGAGGGAATGGATTTATTTAGCCAGCCCAACATGTGATGGCGTGTGTAAGAAGGCCAGAATAGATAACACGATTGTGCTTTCTGAATCCCCTAGAGTGGTGGGGGAAGGTCAGACATTGATGTAGATCTTATTACTGGGTTGGGTAGGTATATACGAGTTTCAGGCGCCGCGAGAGACGACGGATACAGCAGCGACGTATAGGCATTCCCGTTGATTTGCGCACAACACATAGCGAGCTGTGATGTAATAATCGGTTGATATCGTAGCATGTCTTTACGTTATCTACAAAATAGCGTATGAGTGCAGCCCATGCATTCGTGATACCATTGCATTGCGTAGTCGAGATATATATTCATTTCATCGCGTGTGGAGTAATGTTATAAATCCTAATACGTAAATGGACGTAGTACGTGCGACTGGTGCTCTCTTTCTTGTCACTCTGCAATCGATAATATGTAATGAAATGCACTTCGTTTCTGTTACTACGTGACGTAATTGACGCAGTTCCCGGCTCCGCACAAGGCGATCATTTGGGAACCGTCAACAAGTCTCCATCACCCGATCCGCAATGTATGATGGACATCTTATCACAGTTTTAGCCAATTATCGGAAGCGTCTTTAAATGACGATTTAGTGCGTTGTTGGAATACACGTAATTGCCAATACGTCATGAGTCGCCGAATGTGGGGGGGGGGGGGGGGTGATGTGATCAACGCTACTTGATTGTTATGTCTTAGCTGATAACTCTTGTCCCAGGTTTACCGCAATCTAATAAAACACAGTGACGTAAACTAACAAATTTATGTTGAATGAATGAATGAATGAATGAATGAATGAATGAATGAATGAATGAATGAATGAATGAATGAATGAATGAATGAATTGGATGGAGAGATACTACGCTTCCCAGATGTACTGGATACTGGCTGAGAAAACAAGGGAGACAATCTGCTAATATCGTTTGATCATACTCGTATTTATCGTAACGTTTTTATATTATTGTGATTTTACAAATAAGCTTTTTATTGAATATAATGTAACCAATAGTTTTATAATTCGTATGTACTATATCGTCACATGTATGCATTGACTTGCATTGTGACATACACTCGTAATATTTTATAAGTGAACATTGATACATGTTTAATACTGTAATCGGAATTTGAGATTTTGACATTGTAATTAGTCAATGTTATATTTTTTATATACTCGAGGAATAAAAATCAGAAATGAATGAATGAATGAATGAATGAACGAACGAAAAAATGAAGTTCAAACTAACAACAATCTGAAGACACAACTAAACTATATTCGGGGAGAATTCCAGCATCGAGATGCTGAAGCTCGGTCGACGATGGAACGCGACTTAATAGTTTGGATTTCGATTAATAACATTGTTATTACTTAGATATGTGTGTATGTAAACTAACGAGAAATGCCTCGGGCCGATAATGTTGATCGACATCGCCTCGGGTCGGGAATGTAGATCGACATCTCCTCGAGCCTGGAATGTAGATTTTCTGCAAGAGCGGAGAGCGCTATCTCGCACGACGTAATATACATAGTAGGTTATACCAGAATCCAAGCAGGCGGATCAGAGGGGATCAAAGATGACATCAGGTCAATAAATCTAATAAGTTAGTCTCGTGTTTTGTTTTGCATTGTCCATAAAGTAAACATATAGCTCGTGCATTTCTCGTATTTAATACGCGGAGATGGTACTGGTGGCATTGATGATAGGAAGGTGACACCATTTCTATATTTCAAGTCTCCTATGTTGAGTAGTTATGGGCAGTGTGCATGCGTTGTAGTTGTGTCTCGGCTCAATACCTAAATCCCACATATAACCACGCTCTTTTGGGAACGTATAACCATGTCGGCACACAAAAACAAACACGCCTATTTACGCGTAAGATGATTTAACGATGGTGTTAGATTTTTAACCTAAGGCAAGTCGTTGTTGTTTTTACCACTTCTGGTGAACGCATGAATCTTTTTTTTTTCATCCCCATGGTGGATGTCACATATTCAGTATAAATGGCGTTTAACCAGAAGCCCAACAATATTTAAATCATGCTCGAGCGTTTTCCGAATAATTTTAAGTGAACCACTATACCCCAGGGACATTAATAGTTCCATGATATGATCTACGCTATAGGTCGTCAAACCGCTTGTATTTCCAGAGATGTACCACCTTGAAGTAATGGGTCACGTATCATGTATTTTCTGAAAATACACCACACAGTGGTCACAAAGGGTTGTCCATTCCGTGACATTATTGCGTGGATCTAGCATATTGAATAATCAGGGGACCTTAATATCTCCACGTTGTAGTTACCATGGATACAAAAACAGGCCTGGTGCCAGTGTAATTATACGGATCCAATGAACGTTCCCCCTGTCACCTTGTTATTTAAATACAGCAAGCGAACGCAATCGCTCGTCGCGCACGGACTAACCAGTGCATCAAATTTACAACTGTGGGTTAAAAAGTCGCGCAATACTATATCGGAAACATTCTCTTCCTACTCCTGTCCCCAAAAATGTGAGACACTTTGACTGTAACTAGGAATGCCCCACCCGCTAAATTTTCAGTTTGAATATGCGACTGTGGTGAACCGGGACAACTAGTATTTCCAGCAAATCGAAATACTGGCCTGTATCTGTCATGCGTCCCAAATACATGTATACAGCGTAAACACGGGACACTACACTAAGATGACATGTTTTATAGTGACACATATGTGTTTCGGGTAATTTAACATGAAAAAAAGGCGTTCAATGATTAATCTTCTTTATTTCAGTTTCACCTGATATTCTTCGCTGTGCTGTCCAGGGGACCCGCCTCCAACTAAAGTAAAACCATCTCCGCCAATAAGAACAGAGAACTGGACGATCACATGACTATCACTTAAGTTTACATTTTACGAACACAAGTGTGAGTGATAAGGGAAGAGAGCGACCAGTACGCTCCAGTGAGTTCCGAGAACCCTATTCCTGCCAACCCGTGACTGACATCAAGTGCCGATGCACTCACAGCGAGTGTACAGGTCATAGCAAATAGACGTCCCAAACCGCCGCCTGCTGTTATAATAGGAACCATCTAAACACGGAGTGACAGCGCCCGTAGCAGACAACGATGAAGCCTAGCATCGTACTCGAGTGTTGTGTACTGGTGATTGCACTGATAGTGGCAGCCGCGACCTCTACAGAGATGACCACAGACTTGCCCGGCGTGACCAGTCCCGAGTCGTCGACCGGCGAGCCGCTACATTTGCCGAGTGCGGACTTAATATTTGACGTATGCAGCAACGTATCCCAATTGTGTTCGTGTACAAACGGCGCAAAGCTGAATGTGAGATGTCGGGGCGTTCCGGTTTTGGACATACAGTCGTTGGGTATTCCGACCGAAACCCAAATTCTGTAAGTGTATTTTTTTTTTTAATTTAAAGTATGATGGCAAAGTATTTATATTTGCTTTGGTCGCTCTTTCGTTTGTGTTTATTTTTTTTATGTCCAAAACGTGTTCCATATTTGCGGAGCAAGTTTGAAAACATTTTGAACCGCCGTGCCATAGCGTGTTTTGCACGACTGTTTGTTGAATGCTTTGAGCCAATATTTCAAAAACCTAAGTACCATATTTGCTTGCGTGATATAATTGGTCCGCGCTTGACTGGGCTTCATTTCTCGGGCTTTTGCCAGACATGCACGATGAATGTTGTTTTACTAAAAACGCGCGGAACGAGACTTGTCGTTTAAGTTGTTAAATAAAAAGTTGAATGGAATGCGTTTATTTATTATTTGAACTTATGTTGCTCGAAAAGGCTGAATGAAATAATGGAGGTGGAAGATGTGTGAATTAATTCCGGGAGATGATATCCATTCTGAATTGTAGTTTGTTTTTTTTTGGACTGAAAACGTACACTATACGCACAGACTGCCGCGAACGACGATTTAAAGCGAGCGTCATCATATGGAAAGTTTCCGCGTGGTACTTCAGTCATAGTTATTTTTCTTCTGTCGTTTCATCATTGGAAGGACGTTTTATTTTGTTTTTCTTTACAAAATTGTGATATGTGGGATTTTTTGGATTAACGTTTGCCTGCGACACTTGAAATGAAATCTGTAATTAAAATTTAATTGAAGTTTAATTATGTTATAGTATGTTGTAACATGGTGTGCGTCTTTAGGGACATTTCACACGCCACTGAGATCGGGCTAGTGGACTGAGATCACCACAATCCCGGTAATATCTCGGATGTAGTGTTTATTCCTTTCTTTCCACATTCATTATGTACATGTTATGTATACGTATTGACTGCTGTAACTGCGTTGAAAAGCACGCAAAACATCGCCGTAACAGTGTTTCCGTTAAGTACAGTCATTTGACTTTTAACAGCGACTGACTATTTGCGGAACAGGCCAAGCTGGGGTTCAATATCAAACAATTAAATATCAATCAATTCGTATTTTCGTGAGTAAGTGTGTCGTTTTACGAAGCGGTAGACCCGTGGGCGATTAAATAGTATCGTCAGCGGTATAGTACACCACTCAAATGATGACAAAATAATCAGCAATAAAAACAATGCAAATACGCAAAGCTATTGTGTCAATAGGAAAACATCTTTTCTTGTGTCATTTATAAAAATCACTGAACCAGGTAGTCACAGTGTAGTATTTACTATAAACATGCCTTTGTGTCTCAAACCATCGAAAATAAGCCAAACAATTTTACACTCTAAAAAATAAAAATTAAAATAATAGCAAAAACAAGAAAATATAAATAACCATAGTAGTTTTGTATGGTGTTAGTGATAATCATGTACATTCCTATGATTTTTACATAACATACCCATTCAGACCATTGAAATGGACAATTGATGGGTACTTAAAATTAGCAGTCATGATCACTATCATAGATTGGGTTATAATACAATAATTACATATAACCACATTCTATCCAAAATGTTAACCAGAACAGGAGGTTATACATAAAACTAAAAAAAAAAAAAACCTTAGATACTCCTAATAAATATTCTTAACAGCTGGATAAAATAAAACATTATCTCTCGAGAAAGGATAGTTATCTCTGTGATCGTTTTCTCGTGTAATTCATCAAAGTGACCGCGTGGAATAACTATTGTACCAATTAGCGACAACATAACAGATGATGTATTCAATACGCTACGTGGTTGAGTAATCCTACTGAATTTGTAGACACTGAGAAAAGAAATGGCAATTATAAGTAGAGAGCTTTATATATCAGCAGTTGTACATGCAGTGTCCTTAAAAGACTTCCTATAAAATAAAAAAAAAGATTTTTAAGGATGTCGTTAGGACTGTCCGATACTGTCTGTGATTAGAATTGACAGATGTGCCAGCTCATTGCAACGGCAGATAAACGAACCAACACATTATATCACGGCTTATTTTCTGATATTTTTTTTTTTTTTTTTTTTTTTTTGCATGATGAATGAAACAGGTTCTGTTTGAATCAGAACAGGGGTATTCATTATGAGCTGCTTGCATTGCTGTAATGAAATTTACAGGTTGGGGAATTCTGTTCTCGGTTTTTTTCTCTCATCTTCCTGCAGTAATTTTCCAAGCTTGATGTATATGCTGCTTGTCCCTAAGGGAGTTCTTCATATTGGCAATGTTCATAACATCCTTGACCGAAATTATATAAAAAAAAAATATTGCATCAACTAAATATATACGCTTAAATAATACCCATTCACAGGATGTGCCAAGTTTCATCTCAAGATGAGGTGACACTGATGATAGAGATCGCCACGACAACAGTAGCCTCCATCTGCCGCCCTAAAAGATCAGAGAATATCAAATTTTGATCCATTTTTCCTGCAGTCAGACAAATATTGATTTTAGTACAGGCACTCAAATTCCATTTTCAATAAAAGTTTAATGAGGATTTACCGTAGTATTGGTTGTCTGTTCACCCGTACCTGTCAGTTTCAGGCATTGTATGTGTAACCTCAAAGACTACTACCCTGATTTCAGTTAAAATGGTAATACCCTTGAACTTCTAATAAAGTGTACTTTATTCCAATGAAATAAAATATCGAATCCCACTGATTGTTTTATTCATTTTACGTTCAATATGTCATGAACTTATTGACGAAATACAAACATTATTTGTTGAGAATTACATATGTTTACCATCGAGTGACTGTTAAGGCATCACAGTTGACACACAGCACATATTTGAATTCAATGTAAACAATGTATTTTCTCACTTTGGATCGGATAGAACATGTCTCGATGATTGCAGTGATTTAAAGAAGTACACATAATTCATGTAAATTTCATTAAAACTGTAACTTTTAATTTTACTTACTGATTTTGAAACTTAGAGGGCAATTGTCTTTTCACCGAGCATGTGCGAGATACAGGTCCTGTAACAACAAAGATGATAACTTTGACTGTCGTGTACATGTACAAAAAAAACACATACATCAAAGAGTCAAACTCGGTATTCATCTCACACTGCAACCAGATCAATATATGCATTATCCTTGCCAATGGAACAACATATTGGGTTGTAGGAAAGTCATCGTCTATCAAAACAAGTCTCTCACACTACCATTGCCCTTTAATTGTTTGCACCAAGTCGGTTATTAAATGATAACAATAGGAATAGGTCACCAAACTAATTTAAAAAATGATCAATAATACCCAAATTTGTTATTCAAATATTCTCTCCTGAAAAGTGATATTCGCTATACTGCAACAGAAGCAGTAGGTATTACGTTAACTGTGAGGTAAAGAAAGTCACTTCAGTGTATTAATTGCCATGAATATTAACAACAATATTATAAATAATGAAATAAATAATCATAAATAATATAATTAAATCATTTTACTGCAGCCGTTCATCAGTTTGACCCCAAACATTTTTTTTTTCGTTTTGTTTGTTTGCTGGGCCTCAATAACCTTATTTCAACATTTGAATTTGTCCGTTTGACACATCAGTGGCTGGAATAACACATCAAGGGACTATGGGGCTTTAGTTGACAGTTGATATCTAGCATTGAATGCGGCATGTGTGGAGACATGTAAATGGCAATTGTGAACTGAAGTGCATGTAAATACAGCTTTTAATAGTGACTCCCCGGTAATAATAAGTATGGCCAAGCATCACCATGCATTCAATGAAGACACTATGCACAATAGATGAAGGTTTTGTTAAGTATATTTAAAGTGTGAAAACAAGTTCTACTCTACTATGGAATCTCGTACAAGAGAATATTTATTGTGAGTAACACACCTTGATCCACGGATTTGTTATATTTAATGGTTTATGACGATTGATGTCTCCTCCCTGAATGCTACTAAATAAAGAGATAAATCGGGGGATAAACCTCCTTGTCAACGGCGACATGTTAATTATAGCAATTAACGTGTTACGTTAATAACTTCTAACTGCATGTATTTGACTTGCAGCAGTTTCATTCATACTGTAGTACACAATTCTACACAGAACCTGACCCCAATCAATACAGTTACACAAAATAGTTTGAGAACTTTGTATTTTCCACACACAGGAAGAATTTTCAATTGAGAGACAGAATAAAATGCAGCAACAAAAGCTTGTTTTTGAGAAACGTGTCTGTTTATTTAACACATTTCTAGCTGAAATCCTCCAGGCATACAAAAATCAATTGGGGGAAAAAAGGAGTTTAATAGTAGCTTAATATTCTGGACTAGTAATGGGGGTATGCAAAAAAAAAAAAAAAAAGTAGTAGAAAACTCCCTGCTGCTGATATGATACAGATACAGATACAGATACAGATACAGATACAGATACAGATTTAATTTTTAAAACTCTTAATCCTACCAATTTATTCTCCATGGAGAAATTACTCGTTGCAGCATTAACCTTCATGTATGTGTACCCCGCCTCCACCCAAGTTCAAGTATTCTCAAATATAAGTGTACTGTAAAATCTGTATTAGAAACTGCAGCTTCTATTAAAATGGTACAATGCAACAGAGGTGATGCAGCTTCTATTAGAGCATCTACACATATGAGAAATGGTGAATGTTTGGTTCTCAATTGTTCAAAAAGAATGAGTTTAGCTAAAAAAAAATTATATTAGGGATAAGGTTTCTAATAAAGGTTGTATAGTAAGTGCTGCAACAGAGAGCTTTTTTGCAATGACAGTAGTACAATGAAGGAAAACCATTCTTTCACATGCAATATGTTATTATAGTCATAAAAGAGAACATGAATGACATCGATCTGAATTAATATGATATCGAGTCACACATTATTGCAAATTTGAAATAGAAAAATACAATGAGATGCATGGAAGTTCAAATACTATACTTGCGTGTGTGTTTTTTTCTATACCGCATTGACGTCAGCTGTCTTTCCTTCATGTTTTTAATTTGTACAATAAAATA